CCGTGTGGAAAACCTGCGCCTCCAGCACGTGGTTCTGCAGCACCTCCTGCGCCCAGACACGGCAGGGTGGGACACTGGGGACACTGGGGACACGGTGGGGGGCCCAGCTCACAGAGCCAGAGAGGAGGGGACTGTCCTGGCCTCAGGAGCCACAGGGACAGATCGATCCCAGCGCATTCCTGAGGGCTGGGAGAGCCCCTGACTCGATTCCATGTCCCCCAAACTCCACCCTGGGCATCTCACAAGGGCCTGGAGTGACAGGACAAGGGGGAATGGCTTCCCACTGGAAAATGGGAGATTGGGGTGGGATACTGGGAGGGAATTCCTGGCTGTGAGGGTGGGCAGGCCCTGGCACAGGTTGCCCAGAGAAGCTGTGGCTGCCCCTGGATCCCTGGAAGTGTCCAAGACCAGGCTGGACAGGGTTTGGAGCAACCTGGGATAGTGGGAGGTGTCCCTGCCCATGGCAAGGGGTGGGATCGATGGGATCTGAGGTGCCCTCCCCCCAGCCCACCCCGTGCCCCCAGCCCCTCACATTTCCCATGCTGAAGTGCCGTTTGAACTCGCAGAACAGGTTGTAGACCAGCACAGTCCCGTCCTCCTGGATGCACAGCAGGTCCTCCCCCGCCGTCCAGCCCAGGTGCACCAGGCGGCCGCTCTTCCACTGGGGAAGGGTGGGAATGGGGTGGGAATGGGGTGGGAATGGTCACCCTGGGCTGCTCCAGACAGCCCAGAGCCAGGGCAGCCCTCCAGGGACACACGAGAGGCCACGGCTGAGGCTGAGCTCTGACTCCTTCTCCAGAGGTTGGAAACCCCACCTGGAGGTCCAACATCTCATCCAAAGGTCTGGCACCTCACCTGCCCTGGCACCTTTCTCTGCCCCTCCACTGCCCCGTGTCCACCTAACCCTGGGCAGAGGGGAGGGAGGATGTTCCTGCTGCTCCAACTCCCATCCCATCCCCTTCTCCCAGTCCTGGGCAGCAGGGAGAGGGGGGATGTTCCTGCTGCTCTAATCCCGCTGTTCCAATCCCGTCTCATCCTTTTCTCCCAGCCCAGGTCAGTGAGGAAGAGAAGATGCTCCTGCTGCTCCAGTTCTGCTCCAAGCTCATCCCACCCTCTTCTCTCATCCCTGGGCAGCTCCTTCCCCCCACTCCCCCTTGCACCCGCCAAAGGGGGTCCCAGCCCGCCCAGCTCACCGGGACACTGGCCAGGAGCAGCCCCGAGGCCGAGTAGATCTCCAGGAGCGGGCGGGAGCTGGGGGCCTTGTCCCTCCGGGAATTCCTCAGCAGGGCTGGGGGAAGACAGTCCGTCAGCAAAGCCGGGGGGGCTCCGGGAGCCGGGGGGGGCTGCACCCACCTATGGGCCCCCCGTACGGGGCAGCGGCCACCACACAGTCCCGCAGGTCCTCCCGCAGCCCCCATTCCATGGAGTACAGTTCCAGCTTCCTGCGGGACACGGACATGCGGATGGAGGGATGGACGGACAGACGGAGGGATGGGGGTCCAGGGGAACTCGCAGTCAGCCCCGGGACCCCCACAGACCATCCCGAGGACCTCGGTCACCGTGGGCCCCCCAGCCAACCCCGAGACACCCCGAACCACCCTCCCGGCCCTGAGACCCCCCCCGTCCCAGCCAGCCCCAACACCCCTACCCTGGGACCCCCAACCACCCCCAGCACCCCCTCCCCAGACAGTCTCAAGACTCATGGCCGTCCCAGGACCCTTCCGAGCAGCCCCAAGACCCTCCAGACACGTCGGAGATTCCACTCCCAGGACTCCCCCCAATATCCCTGGGACCTCCGAGACTCCCCGAGCATCCCCCTGGGTCAGCCCTCCCAGCCCCGGGACCCCCGCAGCCACCGCCGGGACGCCCGAGCATCCTTGGGACCCCTCTCCCAGCCTGCCCGAACACCCACGGCCACGCCGGGACCCCGCTCCCACCCAGCCCCGGGGCTCCCGAGCGGCCCCGGGACCCCGAGCGGCCCCGGTTCGGGCAGCGCTGCCCCCGCCGTCTCTCACCGGTAAAAGGCCTCCTCGCCCAGCGGGTACCAGTTGGCCGTGTAACAATCCATGGTGCCGGGACGGGGGAAGGGGACAGGGATCGGGGAAATGGGGATGGGGATCGGCACCGGGATGGGGACCGGGGGATCCCGGCGCTTCCCTCCCCCAAGCCACGCCCCGCACGTGACGCCGGGCCGGCCGCCGCCATCTTGGGTGAGGGCCCTGAGAAGAGCGGAGACGGGAACCGCCGCCATCTTGAGTGAGGGCACCGGGACGGGGGAAAAGGGGAACCGCCGCCATTTTGAGTGAGGGCACCGGGACGGGGGAAAAGGGGAACCGCCGCCATTTTGAGTGAGGGCACGGGCACCCGCACCCGTTTGGGCCCGGGGTGATCGGGCGCCCCCTGACCCCCAGTGTCTGTTCCGTGTCCCCTAGAGTGCCCCCACCTGTCCCTCAAGATGTCCTGAGTCCTCCAAGATGTCCCCTGACCCCTATAATGTCCCCTGTAATCCAAGATTTCCCCTGTTCCCCAAGGTGCCCATTGTTCCCCAGGGTGTCCCTTGTCCCCCGAAGTGTCCCCTGTCCCCCAAGATGTCCCTTGTCCCATGGGGTATTCCCCATTCCCCAAGATGTCTCTTGTCACACATGCTATTCCCACAAGTCTCTCTTTATTTCCCGCTGCTGGAAATCCAGGAAAGGCCCTGGCAGCGCGTCCGGGCACTGCCAACGCCCCCCAACCACCCCACACGTGTGCCAGGGCCAGGGCAGGGGGCCAGGGCAGTGCCCAGGGCCAGGGCAGGGGGCCAGGGCAGTGCCCAGGGCTGGGGCAGGGGGCCAGGACAGTGCCCCGTGTGCCAGGGCCGGGGCAGGGGGCCAGGGCAGTGCCCAGGGCCGGGGCAGGGGGCCGGGGCAGTGCCCCTTGTGCCAGGACCGGGGGCTGGAGTGCCAAGGTCGGATGCCAGAGGGGATGCCAGAGCTGTGCCAAGGGTGCCAGGGCTGGGGTGCTGTGGTGGTGTCTCCTGTGCCAGGGCCGGTGTTTGGGTGCCTGGTGGTGCCTCCTGTACCGGGGTCAGGTGCCATGGCAGTGCTGTGTGTCCCAGGCTGGGGTGCCGTGGCAGTGCCTCATGTCCCGGGGTCACAGTGACGGTACGGCCAGTGCTGCTGTGCTGGAGCTGCAGTTCAGGTGCCAAGCGGTGCCACAGGGGCCAGGGTTGGGGTGCCCTGGCAGTGCTTTGTGCGCCAAGCCTGGAGTGCCATGATGGTGCCTCACGCCCTGCAGCTGGGATGCCGTGGCAGTGCTTCACGCCCTAGGGCTGGGTTTGGGTGTCCTGGCAGTGCCACAGGGGCCAGGGTTGGGGGGCCATGGCAGAGCCTCATCTCCTGGGGGCACAGTACCATATTGGTGCTGCTGTGCTGGGGCTGGAGTCGGGGTGCCATGGCAGTGCCTTGTGTCCTGAGTTTGGGGTGCCGTGGTGGTGCCACGGTGGAGCTTCATGTCCCGGCGTTGGGGTGCCATGGCAGTGCCTCGTGTGCCAGATTTGGGGTGCCGTGGCAGTGCCTCGTGTGCCAAGTTTGGGGTGCTCTGGTAGTGCCGTGGTGGAGCCCCACGTCCTGGGCTGGGGTGCCATGGCTGTGCCTCACGTGCTGGGGCTGGAGTTTGGGTGCCAGGGCAGTGCCACATGTTCCAGGATCGTGGTGTCATGTCGGTGCCTCGTGTGCCACATTGGGGGCATCAGGGAAGCACCTCGTCCCAGGGCTGGGCTGCCATGGCAGTGCCACACGTGCCGGGGTCATGGTGCCGTTTCAGTGCTGCTGTGCCAGGGCTGAGGTTGGGGTGCCAGGGCAGTGCCTCGTGTGCCGGGTTTGGGATGCCAGGGCAGTGCCACACGTCCTAGGACTCCTGTGCCACGGCAGCGTCCCCCGTGCCCTCCGTGCCCCACCGGAGCTACTTGGCCTTGGCGCCGTCACGGGCGCCCAGGTCGCAGCGGTAGTGGAAGATCTGGAAGTGCAGGATGGTGCCCAGCAGGTTGGGGCTGGAGGTGCCCACCCTGCGGAAGCCCTGCCCCTCGTAGAGCCGCTGCGCCGCCACCTGCACCATGGAGGTGTAGAGCACCACAGCGCCGAAGCCGCGGGCGCGGGCGAAGGCCAGCACCTCCTGGCACAGCGCCCGCGCCAGGCCCCGGCCGCGCTGCTCCCGGCTCACCGACATCCGCCGCAGCTCCAGCGCCCCGGGCGTGTCCCGCGACGGCACCGCGGCCACCATGCCCACCACGGAGCCCCCCACCTCGGCCACCCAGAAGCCGCCGTCGGGCGCCCGGTACGTGCCGGGGATGTCGCACAGGTCGGTGCCCAGCGCGTCGCGCACGTAGCCCACGCTGAGGGAGCGCACGAGCAGCCAGAGCAGCACCACCGCCAGCCCCACCGTGCCCAGCCCCAGCACCCAGGAGCCGCCGCCCGCCCGCGCCCCCACGAACAGCACGAGCAGCGCCAGCCGCGCCCGCACCGAGCGCAGCACGTGGCGGAACCCGGCCGGGATGTGCTCCAGGATCCCACGGGCAAACAGCGCCCGCACCGCCTCCGAGTCCTGCTCCCGGAACGGCCGGATCCGGAACGACGCCATGGGCACCTGCGGGGGCACAGCAGCGTCAGCGTGGCACAGGGGCGGGACAGCGATGGGACAGCGATGGGACAGGGATGGGGGCACCTGTGGGGTCAGGGATGGGACAGCGATGGGGGCACCTGTGGGGTCAGGGATGACACAGGGATCCGAGAGGGATAGGGGCACCTGCAGGGGGCACAGGGGAGTCAGGGATGGGACAGGGATGGGAGAGGGATGGGGTCACCTGTGGAGTCAGGGATGGGACAGGGATGGGATAACAGAGATCCCAGGGCCAGGATGGCACAGGGGGCTCAGGACAGTGCCCAGCTCCACAGGGACCCTCAGGGTATCCCCAGGTCCCAGCACAAGGGTGGAGCAGGGAGTGGGTCAGTGCCCACCTCCAGGGCAGTGCCAACCTCCACAGGGACCCCCAGGGTACCTGCAGACCCATTTGTGAGATGGAATAGGGGAGCAGGGCAGTGCCATAGGGATGGGGACCCATCCCTGAGGCGGCACAGGGGGGTCAGGGCTGTGCCGGTGCCGCTCCCACCCAGGGGCCCCCTGTGACGTAGGGGGAGTCCCCCCTTGATGGGTCCCAAGGGATTCATCCCCCTGCTCCCGGCTGGGGAGGGTGTTTAACTGGGACACCCGTGGGGGGGACATGGGCTGGGGGGGACAGACGGGAAGGACAGGAGGAGCCGGAGTTGTGTCCCCCCACCCCGAGACCCCAACACTCACCGGGAGCCCCCGAGCGGCACAAGGAGCCCGGGACAAAGGCGGGGACTGCTGGGCACTGTCCTTTGCCCGCCGTGCCCAGGGCAAAGGGATGGGGGGGGGGAGGGGGGGCACGGCGTGACACAGGGACATGGGGGCAGCACGGGGACACGAGGGGGATACGGGGGCGCAGGGGGACAGACCGGCTCTGGGGCTGCTCAGGGCGGGGGGGCTCAGTTCCCCACACGGGGAAGGGGAACAGCCCCACCCTGCGCCGGGGAAGGGATTGGGGGTCCCCAAACTGCCCCACACCCCGCGGGGGTCCGGGTCACACCCCCTTAATCCCGTCCCACCCCCTCCCCGGGGTCCGGCACCCCCTGCTCCCCAAAATCCCCCCGCCCCCCCCACCTGCTGCTCCCGGCGCGGTCGCTCCTCAAAGCGGGGTCGCGGCTCTGCAGCTCCTCGGAGGGAACAGGGGGGTCCTCGCAGGGCTGGGGGGTGCGGTCACCTCCCCAGCACGGCCCGGGGGGTCTCGGGGGGGGTCTGTGTCTCCCGCAGCCCCCGCACTGGCCTGTGCCGGCCGCTGCCGCCGAGGAAGTGGCCGGGTCCGCTCAGCCCATCGCCCTGCAGCGCCCGGGGGCGGCTCCGGCGGCTTGGGGGCGGCTCTCTCTCACGTTTGGGGGGTCTCTGGTGGCAGCACGCGGGGGTTCCCCCCAGTTCAGCCCGTTCCCAGGCCCACGGAGGCTCCGTCGGCGCGGGGAGCGCAGGCGCGGGTGGGAAGTGCCGGCGCTGCCGGGGGCGGGGGGGGATGATGATAAACCGATCCCGGAAAGGTGGTGGGGTCACGGGGGGGGGATTGGTGGGGAGCGGCATCTGGGCAGGGCATGGGGGTCCCGGGCAGTGGCAGGGGACAGACAAAACCACTGCCCGGGCCACCCATCTCCGCCCAATCCAGGGGATGGGGCAGCCCTGGATCCGTACGGCGATGGAACGGACCGGGATGAGGGTCCAGCCACTCAGCGGGGAGTGTCCCCATTGCAGGGGACTCCCCTCCCCTGCCCGGGGCCCCCCGCTGGCACAGGGGGCTGGGGGGTCATCACAGCGACGCCTCGGGGGTCTGGGGTGAAATTCCCCCCCCCCCCCCCGCCCCGCGCTGGAGCCTTCCCGGGGGGTCATGGGGGGCCGTGCGGTGCTGGGGACCCCCATCGTGCTGGGGAATCCCCCCTCCCAAGAACAGCTCAGCCCAGCGTGGGGTACAGTCCTTTATTTCGGGCACTGCCCGACCCGCGGGCACCGGGCCGTAGGGGCAGACGGGACACGCGGGTGGAGGTCCTGGGGGTCCCTTGGGCACCCACGAAACCCCCAGGGGACATGGTGGCACCAGGGCCAAGCAGGACACAGAACCCCCGCCCCGAGAGCTGAACCCCACCCTGGCAGGGCTCCCGGGGGGCTGAGGGGGCGCCACCCCAGCCTCTCCCTCGCACCCCGCAGAACCCCCAGTGTGGGGCGCGATGGCCCGTACCCCCCGTGCCACTCCCGTGTCCGTGAGACACCCACAGCCCGGGGGCTCGGGGGGTGCCGGTGCCCAATTCCTGCGCCGCCCCGTGTTCTCCTGGGGGCACGGTCACGGCAACGCCCTGAGCCCCACTCCGTGGACACCCCACGGGCCCGGCAGCCCCTGGACCCTCTCCCAGTGCCCCATAGTCCCACCAGCCCCCAGTGTCCCCATGGCCCGGACCGCCCTGTTGTGCCCATGAGCCTCCCGGTGTCCCCACGGCCCCAGAGCTCCCCGGGCTCCCCACGCTGGAGAACCCGCATTGTCCCCATGAGCCCCCCGGACCCTCCCAGGGACCCCCCGG